AAACAAAATGCCTACTTAAAACCTGGACCAAATGGCATCCTTAAATTCTTAAACAATGCCAAGATGCAATCATTTCCACTGACAAGAGTTAAAATAAAGAACTATACACCAGTAAGTATTCTGCAGTGATTCAAGACAAAAAGGTTAAGGCAGCTTCCAGTCAGAGGGGGCTCAGCGCAAGCATCATCCTGGGTGCCCTGCCAAAAACATCCATTATTTCTGATTCCTAATTCAAAAACCATATATAAGAACACTTTAACTCAAACACAGAAGTTAAAAATAAGACATTTAAATAGCAATCTCCCTTCTCTCTCAAAGATAAATGTGCCCATTAACCCCAGATGCTAACAGGGAGATTTCTTTCTCTTACATTCTAAATGACAATTTTTTTGTTTTGTTTTTCCTGGCCATTCACAAGGAAGTCGAATTAAAAAACAAAACAAAACAAACAAACAAAAAACCTGGCTCCTGCACAGCTGCTTTGCCTAACTGAAGTGTGATTGGGTCAGTAACTTTTTTTAAAAGGATTTATTTATTTATTTATTATACATACAGTATTCTGCCTGCATGTATGTCTGCAGGCCCGAGGAGGGCACCAGGTCTCATTATAGATGGTTGTGAGCCACCATATATTTGCTGGGAATTGAACTCAGGACCTTTGGAAGAGCAGTCAATGCTCTTAACCCCTGTGCCATCTCTCCAGCCCCAGGGTTAGTAACTTTTAAGTAGAAATATTAAAGACATGGATTAAACTGTGCAAGCCATGTTAAGGAGAGGCAGCTGGGCACAGTGACGCAATGCATGACGCAATGCATGTCTTCTATGGCCTTTATCATCTAGTGAGGGCAGGAAGAGACAAACACGCAATGAAATGTTTCAGTAACGTTTCCAGACAGTGGAAGAGACATCACTAAACAGAGCAAGGTTCTTCACCAGGAAGACTGGTGGTGGCACCCTCTGTGGCAGGGTTTCCAAGTGGAAGAAGGCACTGGAAAGGAAGGTCTGGGAGACGTAGACAGAAGGCAGGAACCCAGCTCTGAAGGATGTACAGAAATGTAGGGATGCTCAAAGGACAAGCCCTGAGAGTCCAAGGAATGGGGCTTTAAGAGCCAGATGCTGGGTTGGAGCGATTGCTATGGAGAGTGCTTGCTGTGTGAGCACGGGGACTAGTCTGCAACCTACCCTAAAAATCTAGGTATGGTGGGAGGGACACGCCTGTGACCTGTGACAGAGGCAGGGGAATAGAGACGTGTGTGTGTGTGTGTGTGTGTGTGTCTGTCTGAGAGAGAGAGAGAGAGAGAGACAGAGAGAGAGACAGAGAGAGAGACAGAGATCTAGGAGGCTTGCTGGTTAGCTAATCTAGCTGAAATGGCTGTGCTCCAGGTCAGACACAAAGAATAAAGTGGAGAGTAAAGGAAGACATCTAACACTGACTTTTATCCTCCACACATGCACAGGCAACCATGACTGCACACATATTCACACAAGTGTCTACAACACACACATACACAGACCCAGGTGTGGTGGGAAATCCCTATAATCCTAGCACTCACACATCTATGGCAGCAGGATTTAGAGTTGGAGGCCAGCCGGGGCTACATAGCAATTCCCACACGAAACCCTATCTCAAGACAAAAAGAAACATAAGGGGGTAAATGCTGGCTTAAAGACTCTTTAGCAGAGATGATGGGGGGGGGGTGTGCACAGGTGTTCAGGGCTGAGGAAGACAGCACAGGTAAGGGGGGGGGATCACAATAGAATGGCAGTTAAAAGAGCAATAACCCAAGTGTCTGTTAGTGGGTGAAATCTATAATAAAATGTGTCATGTTTACAGCAGGATGTTCTCCAGCCTGCAGAAGACAGCAACACAGGCTACAACACAGATGAACCCTGAAGGCATGATGCTAATCCACATAAGCCACCACAGGAGAGTTCTGGAATCCCATTGACTGAATGGGTGGTACCTGGGGCAGTCAGGGCCATACAGGAACTATAGTGGTGGCTACCAGGGACCAGGGAGGAGTTGAGAGGGAGCTACTGAGAGATGTGGAGGGGGGTTGCAGCCTGGAAACCACTCATCCCATTCTGGATGGAGCAATGGCTGCACCGTAGAACTGGGGTCAGGACCACCGAGCTTAAAGGCAGAGAGGATGACAAGCTCCATGCTACACACTCAAGAGGGCTTCTTGTTATTTTCAATGAAGGAATGATATCGAACAAGATGCGGGCCTGGCTAGAACACAGCATTCAGATTGAGACTTGGCAGCTAACGAATAAAAAGGGCAATGTTTTTGTGTAAGGTTCCAGGCTTTGTCAGGAGCACGTGACGCCTTTTCCCTTGATCAGCAAAGGGTCTCTCTCCCAGTCTTCCTCGGAAATATTTAACCCTACTGAATCAGATGGCAACTTTTCAACATCTTTGGCCTTCCTGAGAGCTGGGCTTCTAGAGTGATCTGGCTCTGAGGGGTAGCAGCATTAACAGCAGACAACCACAGGGGCACCTGCTCAGATGCCTGAAGCCTGCTATTCGGTTTGATAGAGCAGGGCTTCATCAGACGCACACTCCGCTATCTGACCATCAGCATGTTCCAAGTGGGTAACGTCAGGGAATCCAACGACGGTCAGCAATCAGTAAACACTTGGAGATTCATCCTCTACTCTCTCTCTCTCTCTTGGTTTTTCCTTGAGACAGGGTTTCTCTGTATTGTCTTGGAGGCTGTCCTGGCACTCTCTCTGTAATCCAGGCTGGTCTCGAACTCACAGAGACATCCGCCTGCCTCTGCCTCCCGAGTGCTGGGATTAAAGGCGTGTGCCGCCACCACCCTGCTTTCATCCTCTACTCTCAGAAGAGGTGCTAGAGTCCATCGGCAGGTCCGAAAAAGCACTGCTAGCTAGCATTCCAGAGCAGCTCTCATGTAGGCTAGTGTGACGCCTTTCCCAGTAAGTGTTACCAGGCCCCCAAGTCCTGGGTTTGGGGATGTTTTGCCTGCACCTCAGCACAGCTCATCACCACACTCCAGGAAGACACGTGTTTGCAAAGTTCCCTTCACTTGAGTTCAAATCCTTCCACTGAGCCCGAGGCAGGCTGTCCTGCTAATTACTTCCAAAGCTACCATTTTTAGAGCAGCCTTACTGTTTTTAAATCATCAACTACAAATAATTTGCCTAGTACTAAAAGCAAGACAATTTTCTCCCTGAATCCCTTGGACAACTTTGCAAGGATTAATCACCCACCCCACCCCAGACAGGGTTTCTCTGTGTAGCCTTGGTGGGCCTAGAACTCGCTCCATAGACAAGGCTAGCCTTGAACTCACAGAGATCTGCCTGCCTCTGCCTCCCAAGTGCTGGGATTAAAGGCGTGCACCACCAGAAAACTTGTAGTCTCCTTATGTAGTGCAGGGTGAACTTAAAATTGTCATATTCTGGCCTCCACCTCCCAAGTGTTAGGATTATAGGTTTCTCTGCATTTGGCTTCATCCTAAATCCTAAATATTTTTAATCCTCTGGTAGATACAGACAAAAGATGACCCGTTATCCCTAGCACATAAGAAATTCGGATCACTGGAAACAGGAGTCTGTTTTTATTAATGAGATTTTTCTGTCTTCTTGCCTTATTTTGCTCCATGTGCCATTAGGAAACATGGCTAATAAATTGGATCCTTTTCACTGCTGGGTCTTGTCGAACTTCAGAAGTCTTCAGGGGCATGTGCAGAAGGTGGGAGGGGATGTGTAAAACGTCAGGAAAACGGTTCCTATCATTTCACTCTAACTTTTGCCTTTTAATGTGGTTCTGCCAGCGGTTTAGTGAAAGATGGCTTCCTCGTTGCCATTTATTAGCCATGACAGGCAGCCACAGCAGCTCTAGACACAGTCTCCCTTCGCCACAATTATCCAGCAATGCCTGCGAGGCAAAGAGTGCGCTCAGAGCACCCTCCTTCTGGAATGCTCTTCCCAAAGGCAACAGTTCAAAGAACCCTCTATTAGCTGGAGCCCTGACATCCGCAGAAACCTCTGGACAGGACAATTCCACTCCTGGAGTGATGGCGGAGACCAAGATATAATTACCTACAATCCAGGCACCAGGAATCCAGGCTCAGCAAGAGTCCAGAGGCGGAGGCTTGTGAGCCCACATCCACAGCATTAGCACCCCACAAACCCAGCCAACTCCTGTCACCTTCCCTCCAAGAGGAAAAGGAAAATGTGTTTTGTTTTGTTTTGTTTTTCACTACAATTCAAGGTAACAAGGTGAGACAAAATGTAACACAGACTCAAGACTAAGTAAATGTACTGGTAACTTATGAGACCTATCTGCAAACAGGACACAAAAATTACAGCTTGCTAACAGGGCTTCCAATTTATAACTTTTAGTAACAAAAACTAGACTGTACTTTCTGTCTTTGTCTCTTTTCTGATTTCTTCTCCTTTAGTCTTTGGAGCAAAGCAAAGGCAAGGGGTTTGAAGGAGAGAAATAAACCGAGGGGATAAAGGAAGAGGGTCATGGATAAAGGGGAGAGTGGACGGGCTTGGGAACCGAAATGTGATGGAAAGGAATCATCATCATCACCATCACCATCACCATCACCTGTGACCTATCAGACGAGCACATCAGAGACAGGCATGGAAACCGGGTAGCAACAGACGAGGGAGATGGCTGGGATGGTAAAAACACTTACTGTTCCAGCCTTGAACTCATGCAGAGAGCTGGACGTGACAGCGTGCATGGGAAATCCCGGGGGACGCAGAGCAGCGGCAGATATAAGAGAAACGCCTGCCGCAGAACAAGGTGTAAGGACTCAGCCGAGGGCCCCAAACTTCCTTCCTACCTCTGGGCAGTGCGGCACGGTGCACACTGCCCGCCCCCATTTTAAAAGACTACACGGTATTAAAGACACGAAAGCACCACCCACGCCCCGGAGAGAACACGGCATTACCACTTCTGATAGTCTCTGAGTACAAACCCGGGTAGCGTGCTTTGCAGACAATACAGAACACAAGCGGAGAGCTGAGCATATTTAATAAATAAAAATGATCGCATTTTGGTGCTGGTAGATTTTAATAAAAAAATTAATAATATTGGTAAAGAGCCAAATTACAAAACGCCCCAAGAATACAGAGTATATAAAAAAAAGCAAAACCAAAAAACCTCAGAGAAGAAATAAAAGCCCATGAAAAAATAAGAGTACCCTAAAAGGTAATAATCTTTAAGATAAAGAAACCATTTTACCAAAGGCACTGAGCATGTTTAACAGACGTTAAAGGAAATTAAAAACAAAGCACACAGCGGGGAATTCCCCAACCACAATTCCCCAACCACATTGATCAAAGACACCGGCGTGTGTGGCAGAAGACACAGAAGAGGCGCCGTCACCAGTGGGATGGGCCACCTCCAAGTGAACAGACTCTCCCACAGTTCTCTTACAGGACAGGAATTAATGTCCTCTCTGGTTGTGGGACACCCTTGGAAATGAACCACCGCGGAGCAGGGGTGACATGTTTCCACACAGCAGGGGAAGCGGGGCGGAGGGATTGCCCCACGCCACCCATCCATACAATTCCAGCTGTCACCACACAGTGCCTGGTCTAAGGGGAGCCATCAGCTGCCTCCTCTAGGAGCCACTTATCACCGGGGTAAATTTAACAGTGCTATGTAGCCAACAAACCAAGGGTAAGAGCTGGAACCACGGGGGTCACTACCCTCCAGACGGACGGCGGGCCACTGCCGTGTGTGTCGCAGGAAAGCAAGGGCTGAGAGGATTTCCCCGGTTCAGCTGTGCTGATCATCTGCCGTCCTCACCCGTCTCTGGGTAGGAGGGTGAGAGCTCTCCTCAACTCCGCAGCAAACACTTGGCTACCGCCACACACGGTCCTCTCTGTTTTCCCAAGGGTGAGACAGGGTATGCTTCGTTTGGGCCAGATGTCCACAGCACTGTGGGTCTGCTCATCCTGACTAAGAACGCGAAGCAATTATTTGTATGTCCTAGACCACACAGCATCGAGGAGTGGCCGTTGGAATTCGGTGGATGACTAGAGAGACTGCCGGAACCCTCATCCCAGCCAGATGAGCTGAGAAGGTGGAGGGACCTTCCCTCCAGCCCCGTGGGCAGGCCCTTAGTTTCTCAATCAAACTAAATCAACAGCTCACACAGATGTAGGTCCATGTGTCGGTAGGGACTGGCAAAGAAGATTCAAGGTTTTATATTCTATAGATGCCTACGTGTGCTGCACCAGCTATTAAAAAGTTATGTGCAACTTCAAGATGAACGGCACCGGCGGCTTCGTAGAGGAGAGCAGCCTTCTTCTGGGGATTTCACAAGACAACTCACTGAAGCTTCTGACCCCGGTGGCTGTTAATTGAATCAAAGTCAATGACAATCTTGTTGTACTTCGGTGTGAATTTCCTAAACATGAAAAACAAAACGCATAAGAGAATTATCCAATGAGTAGTAGTTAATTTGTTTATTTCAGCTTAAACTGTATTTCCAGGGCAGAGAGAAGAAATATCCTGGGACTCGCTTGATATTTTCTCTCTGTAGGAGCCAATTACAGTGCCCCATGCCGAGAGGAACACAGGGCAGGGAAGACTAAGACAAGAAACGACGCATGGGGCGGCTTGGCTTGTGTGTTCTTCAACTGTCTGAGTTCATGAATTATCCGCGAGTCAAAGCATTTCTAACGAGTTAGCAGCACAACATGATATCCGATTACGGTTTCCCCATCATATTTATCTTATTTTCTAGGAACTCTCTGCAGCCAACTCGAGTTGCTCTAAAGCAAACACAGTATACTTTCTTTTACCTCTGCTACATAGAAAGACAGCTTGTTGAAGTGGGGTGGGGGATTTTCTAAATCAAGTTCTGCAAATGCAAACAATAAGCCCTCTGTGTTTTTATATTCAACGCATCTACAATAATGGCAGATACTTGGGGGCTTAATAAGAGAGCGTGTGAACAGTGCTCCTCCATGGTCTCTGCTCCTCCTTAATGAGAGAGCGTGTGAACAGTGCTCCTCCATGGTCTCTGCTTCAGTTCTTAATAAGAGAGCGTGTGAGCAGTGCTCCTCCATGGTCTCTGCTTCAGTTCTTAATAAGAGAGCGTGTGAGCAGTGCTCCTCCATGGTCTCTGCTCCTCCTTAATGAGAGAGCGTGTGAGCACTGCTCCTCCATTCTCTGCTTCAGCTCTCGCCTCCAGGTTGACTTTACTTCCTACCCTGGCTTCCAGGATGCTAGTCTGTAGCTCACAGTAAGCCACACAAAGCCTTTCTCCCATGTGACGTCAGTGTTTTGTCAAAACAAGAGAAAACAAACCAGGGCACACAAGGCACAACAAGACAAACATGCATCATGCAAAAGTCCTATTTCCAACTGGGCATGGTGGGTGGTGTCATTGGGAGACTGAGGCAGGAGGCAGCCTGGGCTACACCGCAAACCCAGGGCCAGCTTGTTCATACAGAGACCCTGTCTCAGAAAACGAACAAAATATTGCACATCTCTAACTAAGAACACAGCGAATCGGGCAAGCGGCCCATCATACAAGTCTCACCACCGCTGGCCAGAAACACAGTAACACTTTGCAAAGCTTCCCATTCTAAAAACAATTTCCTGCTGCTCACAAAAGATGGCAAGATGCACAAATAAAACATAATCGTCACTCTGCAGAGATAATCGGGCTTCTGCTCTTAATTCAAAATGTTGCTCAGAGAAGAATTCCTGGTGTCTCACCCTGGCGGGCCGCTTTCTTCTTAAACTATCTCCACTAGAGCCTGGCACATGCAACTTTTATAAAGGCTTGGCAGGACTAGCGCAAAAGTGGTAAATTTTTAAATTTCTTGCTACTTGTATAATTAGTCTAAGCTGCAGAAAGTCACTAATATTAAAATATAATCATTAAACAGGCTGTCTCCAGATATTTTTGTCGTTACTCCATACCTAAAATAATCTTTAGAGGCAGATGCCGTCACATTTCCAAAGACATTGCCACATGTGGAGACAGCAGACTTCAGGCTAGGCCGCATGGATTTCTACACTGGTTCCCCCACCTACCTGAATGTAACACCAGCCATTTTAAACATGAGCCTAGCGGCCGTCGTCTCTTCACTGTCATGGTATTTATCCGACATGAAAATAACTTCTTTTATACCTGAAAAGGTAACAGAGGAAGATAATCACGAACACAAAATGCAAAAGACAGGCAAAAGAGACGGAGCCCCGCGCCCATGATTAATTGCCTTGTCCAAGTGAGCTTCCAGACAATGTCCAGTTACTCAACTACTCATCTATGGCTTCCCAGTACAGCAGAGGGGACTGTATTTAATCTGCCTTCCAGTCTTTATGAGGGTTTTTAATATGCAAATGCAAAGTGAAAACATGTCAAGCCGTCAAGCCTTGATCCAGTTAACAAACTTTCTTTATGGCAGGTAAGCAACTACTCTTTATTCACCAAGCAACTACTCAACTCAAGACGCTAATGTGAGGGGTGGAGGGTGTGGCTAACCCAGAGGTAAGCAGCATTAGGCCTCCAAGAAAGGCTCTGTTATCACTGTGGAGGGCAGGTCGCCCTAGGTAGCATGAACCTCAGCCAGGATTCCCAAGAGCCTTCTCCTGGGGGCTGTTCCGGGCACCCTTTGGAAGGGGTGAGTCCACACACCGCTCAACCCATGAACCCGCTGCTAACCTCTTCACCTGTGACCAGCTAAGGAAGCACCCCGAAAAGACAGGTTAATGGCAGTAGCTCCATGGGCACCCACATTGCCTCTTAGCGGTAGCTGAGGTCTGCTATCAGCTGGCTTCTGCTCTGACACCCAGGGGGCTCATGATAAACAGTCCCTTTAACCCACACATCTGGCTAAATGGGTAAAGTCTTTAAATCTCAAACTGAGAGCCTTACAGAGATAAAGCATAGCTCACTCTTAGATGTGACAGTTCAAATGCAGGTGCAATATACAGAATGCAACATAGTAGGTTTATGTCAGATGTAACATAATAAAAAAAAAAGCCCAGAGTAACATTTGAGTCTCATGATATTTATATGCAAAGATCTGCTTAGATCCTCAAATATCTACCATGTATTAGATACAAATTAAAATTTGATATACAGACTCCCAACTGACCTTGTTTCTGACAGAAGTTCATTTCCTCCCTCCCCCTTAATCTATGCACAATATGTCAGAGAATGGTAAATTGACAGTAATTATATGCAATGCCTGTGTTGTGTTTTTGGCAGCTTGCAGTTTAAGAAGTTGCAAACTAAATTAAAAACATGCTAAGAATCACAGAGGATGCAATTAGTCTTGGAATACCTGGCACCATTCAAAAACCAAACACGGGAAATATCCGGCAAAGTTGATAGTGCAATTAATTTAGATCTAAACAATAACAATTTAAGATCAAACACACCTGCCCGGAGCTGCTGACGAGCGGGCTCCGATGCAAATATGACAAACGGAAAGGCCTGGTTCCTACCTGCTTGGATGATGAGCTTAGCGCATTCATTACACGGGAACAAGGCGACGTACATACTACAGCCCTTCACATCAGCCGAATTCTTGTTCATGATGGCGTTCAGCTCGGCATGGCACACTGTGAAAGACAAAGAGAGAAGGAATCACTAAGTCGTTCTGCCTCCATCCCGGAGATAGCACGGATAGACCCAATAAAAATAAATTGATCAGAAACAGCAATACGGAGACTACCAAATAAAGGCCGTTCTGGGTGGTGATTACCAGGGAAGGGAAGCTGTTCCAGCAGCTGGCCTTGGTTTGTAAGCACCGAGAGCACCAGGAGGGGCTGAGGGTCAAGCACCTTCACCCACCCTAAGCGGAGCAATACCTCATTGCTCCACAAGACCCCAGGGTATTGAACTGCCCACATAAAATGGCTCATTTGTGTGGTGATCTGCACACACAGGGGTATTCAGCATGGCTGTTAAGAGGGCAAGGAGCATAAGAACACAAGAAGTGAAGCTAAGAATTTCTATTCTCAGGGATTCCTTTCCCCTCACCATGCTCTGTCCACTGGGGTGGGGGCAGCGGATAACCAGCTATCTGTCCATTTTAAAAACACACTCATTCACTTGAGGGCAACGAACAATCAAGTTCTCTACACTCAGATCCGCCCCACCAATGATTGCAAACGACCATGCAGGCATCTTCGCCTGAGTTCCAGGTCAAAGGAAGCACCTCGCTACCAAAGCTGCCCCTCCCTAGCCACAAGGGTGAAGTAAAGAAAACATCAGCACAGAAACAGTTCTGAATCCCTTGGCCTGCCCAGCAGGCTTTCCACCTGGCCACTGCGTAGCACTGGTAAAGGTCTGGAGTATGTCATCTACAACCACCGTGGGCACTCAACATTTATCCCCAGAGGCGCTTCCAAGTCAGTATCTGCTTCATACTGAAGAGTGATGGGCTAGCCTTGGAAACTTTGAAGAGGATCCCCAGATGACTCAAATGTGCAGACAAATCTGGGAAGCCCTGCTCTACAGAATTCTGACATTCCCCAACACATGCTATGCACACAATGCTAAAACAAGCAGCTGCAGAGTGCAGAGTCCAAACCATACACAATCACCAGAAAACAAACACGGTCCCTTCAAGGATCTTCTGTGGCCTCCATCTCCAGCCACCAGCTTGCCACATCCAGTTGGGGCTGTCACTGAACAATGGCCTAAGATCATGACACTGAGCATTTCCTTCACTACTTGCTCAGATAGTCAGGCACATTTATTGGGGATGTGTTCGGGGTTAGAAGGATGAAGGAGGCACATTTATTGGGGATCTATTCAGGATGAAGGACCAGCCTCCTGGCTTTGCATCTAATAGCAACTACTTGTGTAGTAACCAAACAGTGTTTTACCAGGAAGCTAAGCGAGATCTCTCTCGGGGAAATGTCTGTGCATACTAACATCCTCAAACTAGGAATTAAGAGTTCTCGGCTGTGAGTGAAAAAAAAAATGTGATGGTCTCTGGCAATACAGGGAACTAAAGAAACAATCTGGAATTCATCGAATCACAGGCCATCAGAGAGCAATGGCTGGCCAGAGGGGCTTCAGTCCTGTCCCCCCAAGCCTCACTGCCTGATAAACTCCAAGGCCAAGGGAAGACAGAAAAGAGGAGAGCTCAGAAAGAGTTGGAGGCCATATGGCCAGTGGACTTCAAGAGGAATTCATGGCCCCTTCTTCCCTGGTGCCCAAGATGACAGGATGGAAGCATTAACACTGCTCAGTGTTAAAAACAATTAGATATAACTGTTTCCTTTATGCCCCCCTTGGGGGCATAGCTTAGCCCTCTAAGTTCTTTGTAGCTTCCCCCAAGAGTCTAATGCCATGCCAGGAACATAATGGTGTTAAATATTTATTGAATAAATAAAGGAGGAAACGCAGATCCCAATTATTGATGGTGATGTTGGATACTATTCAGTATCAAAAATGGACTTTCCCATGTAAGAAGAGCTCTGTGACTGGTGCCGGAGTTAACAAACATTCAGAACTTCAAAAACCCCGATCTGTTACCGCACAGCATTGTGGTGTCCTCCTCTGTAAGAACCGTCACGGTGACTACAAGTACCCTTTGTCTAGCTCTCCTCAGGCAGAGGGGAAGAAAGCTTATCATTGTAAGTCGAGGCTCATTTGTGAAAACCACCCTAAGAAACAGATCACCTTGGGTAATAACTGTCATGGCGCGAAATGGACAGTTTACAGAAGTACGGCGTCCTTTGTCCTGTCAAGCCACGGGATGAAAATGCGGGGCTGGTTATTAAGAGATGCGGTCGTCCGGGTGACGCGAACGACTGTCGGGATGCAGGCCAGCTCACAGCCCACAAGCTTACACCTTCACAGTCAAATGAGAGATGACGACAAAGAAAGAAAACCATGTGGTCTGAGGAGAGGAGACGACAGACCCAACTCTAACTGCTCTTGCTCAGTCCTGCACCCCCTTTTAACTTCAGAAACCACAACACACGGCTTCCCAGAACCTCTTCCCTACCAAGGCCCAGCTGACTAATACCGGTCTCCTGGGGTCATAAGAGGTTCAGGGAAGCCCCAACCTGTGAGAACACCCCCCACACTGGCCATCTCACTCTTACCTTGAAACTCCCACACTGCCTCCGTCAGGGCCTCAAATCTGCCCAGGTGCCTTTCCGGCCTAACACTTACTACAGGCGTCTCCACAGCTTCTGTATCGCGGCTTCATCCACCTGTGGAGAACCACTCAGCTTAGGCCTCAGGCCTAGAGACCCACACTGCCCTTAAGGATAATGGACCACGAGGACGTGTGCATCCGAGTGGAATGCTTGGGGCCTGCTTCTCAGCTACCTACATGCATCGAGAGCAGGTAACCTGGACAGCCACGTCTACCCAGAAAGTTTGCTTAACAGACGCAGGCCCAGCCCGGCTTGTCCTGGTCCTGGATAGGAAGTCCTTACCTAGAGCGGCCAGGATGAATGGGCTTTCAGCAGGTAATGGCACCAGTGCCTGCCATTAGAAGGCCTGCGAGCTTTCAATAAGGACAGTGCTGATGCATGATTAACACCAGCTCTGGGAAAATGTATTTCGAACTCAAACAAAACAAAATAAAAGTGGTTGATAAATAAAGTGAGGGTGTGAGTTTAGATACCTAGGATCCTCATAAACGCTGGACACAGGACCAGTGGTGGTGGCACACACCTTTAATCCCAGCATCCAGAGGCAGGCAAGATCTCTGTGAGTTCGAGGCCAGCCTGGTCTACAGAGTGAGTTCCAGGATAGCCAAGGCTGTCACACAGAGGAAACCTGTCTCAAAAAACAAAAGAAAAAGATGGACACAGTTTAATGCCTGTAAATCCCAAGGACCGTGACACGGGAGGCAAGAGAATCTCTAGAAGCCCTCAGGTCACTGAGCTAATGAGGTGGAAAGTGCCTTTAGATGCATACCCAAGACTGTCCCCAGATCTACATACACAAGCCATAACCCATAGCATAACACATAACCCCATACACACACACAGAGAGAGAGAGAGAGAGAGAGAGAGAGAGAGAGAGAGAGAGAGAGAGAGAGAGAGAGAGAGAGAGAGAGAGAGGTGGAATAATAAAAGTAAATGGTAAAGGCATTTTTTTTTTTCAGAGACAGGGTTCCGCTGTTCTGGAACAAGCTTTATAGACCAGCTGGCCTCAAACTCACAGAGATCGCCTGCCTCTGCCTCCCGAGTGCTGGGATTAGAGTGTGCCACCACCGCCCGGCAGTAGAGGCAATTTTTAGACTATCAAGTACACTAGCTTTTGGTTTCCCCCTAACGTTCTGGTTGGTTGCTCCATCCTCCAGGACAAGCTGTCACAAACAAAACCTGGGCTCCTCTCTTGGCCACGCCCACGGCCGCCACGCCCACAGCCGCCACACCCTCACTCCCAGTGTGGAAGGGTGGCTTCCCCTTCTCTGTGTCCTTCAACACGCACACTGTTCTCTCAACCCTGCAGCAGAGGTCAGACGCTTGGCACGTTAACTTCCTTCTCAAGAAGAAATCATTTCAACAACTGCTACTCTAATTTTAAAAATAACTGTCTCATTGTAATGCAGATATAACCTCTAGTTTTCTTCTATCCAATTTTTTGGGGGCATATTAATTATACAGAATAATAGGTTTCACTGTGCCCTTTTCATACATGCACAGAATATTCTTTAGTCATATTCATTCCCTGCAGCCCCCCCACAGCCCTCCCACCCCATCCCCGCCTCTCCCTGATCTGAGTCCTGGTCTCTAACACCCTTCCTTCTTTCTCATCCGCCCTTGCCCGACTCTGTGTCTGTCTGTCTGTGTTATTTTGTTTTCTGAAGCACCGTCCTGCTATAAAGCCCTACCTGGGCTGGCACTCACCATGTAGCCTGAGCTGGTCTTGAACTCAGGGCATTCTTTTCTTCAGTCTGAGTCCTGGATCAGAGGCATGCACAACCAAACCCAGCAAGTTACAAAATCAGTTAAATGAATTTAGTACCAAGTTTTGCTTGCTTGAGGGTCCTGGGAACACCTAAAATCTGAAGCAAAACCCACAGCATGTCTAAGTGTCTCAAAACCTACCATGCCTAGTCCTGCCTGGCAGTGCTAGTGTGTGAGGTTTGATATTCACACTAACACAGGACAAAGAACTGAAGATTCACAACGCTTAACAAGCATTCATAAGGCAGTCTAATAGTGTCAAAAAAGACGAATTTTCACATTATTAACTAGACATCCATATCTACAGCTAAGCAAAAACTTAAGTCCCCAAATAACGCAGATATCTGATATGACCAAAAAAAACCCTCTAATTATCCCCAACATCATATGAAAAAAAAAAGAACAAGTGCTGGAAATATCAGATTAATGGACAGAAAGTGTGATCAGTAAGAGCCTGTTTCAGGTGATTAGGAGACAATTCATACGCTTGGTCTTTTCTTTCTTTTTTCTATTACTAACTGTCAGAATTCAGAACTACATTAACCTTGGCCCACTGAGAAGAGATTGTATAATTAGAAAACTATATTTTTCAAATTCTCTCTCACTGGGGCTTGATTAATCCTCACTGTCTCATGTAGGCGGTTCTGGAAGTTTGACAAATTAACAGGATGTAC